CCGGAATCGACCCGCATAGCAATTACTTTCATTTTGCTCAATCAATCTGCTTTGTCCCACTGTGCCTATTTGCTTTGCAGCTGAACCTGTTATTAATTCCGCTCTTGCTCTCATTCTGCTGGTGTCTATGCTCTGCCCTCTCTTTCTGAGCTTGGCCTTGTCTGCGTCGTGTCGTGATATGGAAATGTGTAAATTATGTTTGGCAAGTCTTGCCCCACATCACTTCCCTGCGCTACACTCTATTGCCTAATTCTTCCCGACCGACAATTGTTAATATTTTTGCTTAGCAAATTTTTAGTTTCTGCATTTTATTTTTAGTGCGAAATTTTATGGCCAATATAATTTCCGTTTATTCTGTATATTTTTCTGCCCTCTTCACACAGACGCATGAACAGAACAGCCTCACGCACATTCGTCACGATTTCTGTCATAAATAAAAGCTTTCTGGCTTATTGGACGTTTTCATTAAGTTTTTGTTGCTACTGACATTTCTCTCTGTGTTGGGTGGCCCAATATACATATAGTTTTGCGGCCTGTCCGGTGGCTGCTTTTATCGTCATTGTTGCAAATTGATTGCTTGCCATTTTGTATGCGAGAGGCATCCGTAGTAAAAATCTACCGTTTTTGCAGTATGTATGTACATGCTTTATATGGCGCCTTTTAATTGAAGCGCCGCCCGTATCTGTCTGTCGCATAAGTCTCCCTCAAGGTACAATAAACAGTAGGTAGAGCCTTTCGTGAGCAAATGATCTAGGGAACCCAAAGAGAGCAGCTTGCCTTACCTTCTGTTTTATCTACACTCACATGTCCATATGTATTGTCTGTATGTTCTCTTTAAAACGCAAGCTCTATCGCGCTCTTGTCTGAAGCCTCGTTTTCGTGGCAATGAACGATCAAATCGATGGGGTCGGGTCGTTCTGTCTTCGTTCAACACGTGTAGAATAAATATTAAGCGGTGGTGCGTAGCGTCGCCTCGCCCCTCCATTCCCTCCACAACTTCTCCCACATTTCAGTTCAAGCCACTACTCCGCACTCCCCCACAAAACTCATTTCGCATCGCAATTTGAATTGGGTTGCTGTAAGTGCATTTGGTTTAGATTTCTGTTATTGCAGACTGTCGTAATACCAACCGATGATGGAAAAGGATGGGGAAGGAGAATGGTCATTGGAAATTGGAAAATAAATGTATAAACAGTAGACGACGGAGAGCTCTTCTAAAGAGGACTTCAGTAGATTTGTGCTGAGTTTTATGATTATTTGAAGCTTATCGTGTAATTCCCATGATTCAGTTGTCATTTTACTGAGAATTTTCAATCATTCTGTGGTCAAGCGGAGGCTTTTGAAACCCCTTCACTGAGCAATCGAAACCCCCCGCCATCATAGAGAATGAACACGCCCTTAAGCATGGTTTTATGAGCAATCATTTATTTAATCCAACTGGAACTCCCCTCCGTCACTAAGCACTTGAGCACCATAAGCAAAAGGGGGACTACTGTACCCGCGCCACGCCGCCAATCTCAAAACATTCGACATCATCACGCCACTTAGAGTCCAAGTAAATGACTGACCGTAGAAAAAGACCCGAAAAAAAACGCCTGACTCAGAGAATCGCTCAGAAAATTTCCAAAACGTCCCCAGACAAGGCGCGTGCCAAGGCTTGAAGGGGAGTCGCGTGTTCGAGTGACCCGAATTTCGGAATAGATTAATGCTACTCAAAGATGATAATACTTCCACAGATCAGGTCTTGTCATGCTGCATGTTTAGTATTCTTGTTTTTTTTTTTTTGCATTCCCCACAAATTTTCCATGCGGCGAAGCGTGCGTCGCGATCTTATCAGGTGAAATAAAGTGAATGGAACGATCGGATCCAGCCCCCGACCTGACCATGTGATCAGATTGCGAGAGCCACACCGAGCGAGCGAGAGAGAGAGAGAGAGAGAGAAGCGCTCTCTGAGCTTTTGCTGTTACAGTGGGGACTTAAGTGGGGCTTTTCATTATTCATAGTGTGGGGTTTAAAAGAACCTATTTTGTAAACGTGAATGATGAATGGTACGAGCAGTTTCTGTGTGTGATTGACATAAAAGTTTATAATTAAATTCGTCTTCCCTTCATCAACATTCTCAGCCACACAACTCATTTTTTTATGCGCAACTATATCATAAGGGTAAATATTTATAGTCGCCTGGTAACCTCGTCGTCGTCGCTGCCTGCTCCGCTCTTGATAACACCTCCAACGGCGACAGCGACCATGATGACAGTGCAGTTGATTATAGAAGGCGACGTCGTCGTTTATATTCCGGTTTTCTATTTCACAAATGCGGACAGCAGTCCGTCATGGCAACCCAAGGAGTTTGGAAGGTTTTATCGTATTTCCTCCCTAGCATTTGATTAGTCTGATATCAAAGGCCATAAAAGCCGACCGTCGATCCAATGGGGTCAGCTTTGGGTGTACTCTCTAGCCCCATTGCTCTATGCATATCGATCTCAGGTGGTCGGACTGTGTAAATACCGGTTTATCTCACGGGAAAAGCTTAGGAGAGGGTGGATAGGGTATTGGAGGACTGGGACCTTAAAATATATACATAGATACCTACATACATACATTTGTATGAATGTATGCATCGGCATCTGGAGCGAGCTAATTACCGACAGCATTTTGTGTTATTTATGAATTATTAATTGCAGTATAGTGGGCACTCTGTCAAGGAAACCTTTTGTGACAAATAATGCAGAAACATCCGTAAATATTAGAATTCCTCTGTACCAAGCCGCACTGTAACAATTCCGAATCGAACAAACACTCTTCCTCTCTTTCACCAATTGGGCATATTTATATTAGCCGCTGTTTGCCAGAGACCCCGCCGCCAACCAACGAATAACCAACGAAAGGGGGAAGCCAATTTCCAACAATCAGAAAAGCAAAATCAAATAATTTGTCACATGTTGCCTGGAACCCACCCTACGGGGGGTTTTGTGGGGACGGGGGCGATTGCTTAAACCGCGCAAAAATACACGCACACAAAACCGCGCTCACCACACAATCTCTTCTCTCGCAAAATGTAATCAAGAGAGGCTATGGGAATACGAGTGAGTGAGAGAGGTAGAGTAAACAAAATCAGACACCCGCACAAACACACTTTGTATTGGGAAATTGCACGTGTTTCTTTCTGTTTCACTTGTTCTTTTTGCTGTACTTTCTGTGGGCAGAATATGAATGGGATGAGCATTTGGTCGTTGGGTTTAAAGAGGGGAGTGAGAGAGGAGCAACGGCACTCACCGCGAATTGATAAATCCATAATGGTCTCCCGTCCCTCGCCGACGCTGTTGCGGCTGACTCTTGATAATATACGCTCTAATCCCAACATGGCGCTCTCACTGAATATTCCCAACTGCCGTTGCGGGGGCGAGAGAGCCGGAACATAGCCATAGAATCGATGGAAGAAACAGTTGTAAATTGGAAATCAAAACAAGAGAGCTGGCAAGATCCACAGCGCTGCTCTCTCGAGCTTCTGCAGCCGGCGAAAACGCATCACGTGGTCGGCTGACGTCGTTGGCTGGAACGTAGAGGGGGGTGGAGTGGGGGACGGCCGGTCGGCTGAGAGCGAACGAGAGAGAATCGGAGCGCATATGAATGTTTGCCAAGTGCCTGCTAGCCATCCCGCTCTCGCCTACTGCTCCGTTATATAAGCTTATGTAATGGTGAGACGACCAGGCATGCGCACAGAGGAACAGTGGGCCACAAAAATAGAAATCTATATTAGATAGAAACCCCAATCCCCCCTCTGCACTATGTAGACATGTGCTGACGTCGGCTTCTGATGACTAATGGATAATTCTATTTTGAGTATCCATCGGGTCAAATTGCAAAAGGATTTTCAGTCTATGGCAAAATCTCAAGTACAGTGGGTGTCAAAAGGGAATTACTCTACTAAGATAAAGGCGCAGGCCCCAAAATCAACTTGATTGGCAAGCTGTCGTCCGCCCATTTAGATACCGCGTTAAGTAAGGGAATTTGTTTTGGGGATTACTTTACTGCGGAGCACCAAGAGTGGGGAGGTCTGGAATTGAAATGAACGCTGATACCACCTCCACTGTGCAGACAAATGACAAATTTAGATAAGTCAAGTGATATTATTAGTTCTAATACGAATAGTGTTGTAAGGGAGGTCTATCGGGCGTCTTTTTCGGGACATCAGCAAAGTGTGTATACCCTTTCTTTTCAAAAATGAATGATTTATGAAAGCTATAGTGTAGAGACGATTTTGTATTGACACCTTTCCTCTTTATATTTTTTCAAAAATGTATGTGAGTATAAATGTACATTTTTGGTTTTTATTCGCATTTATGTATTTACATCATTTTTAAGTCAAGTCTTCTACGCGATCATGTCAAAGACACACATGTATGTAATGTATATCGTCACAGGCTGTGTAATAAAGGGCACAGTGGCGCCAAGCAGCAGCTTGGTAAAACGATGGCGGTAAACCTCTGCCACATTTAGAAAAATATGGTCCCACCGTACACACAACAGCAAAGCTTTCTGCGCAGCAGTTAACAGCGCTGTTACGTGCCCATACTTGAAGCGCAAAAATGAGTCGTAGTATTACAATAAGAATTTTCAACTTGGTTCGTCGTTTTAGAGAGTTCCAGATCTTCGGGGGAATAAAAAAGCTAAGCAAGCCTTTGAATAAAGGCTAGACATATTGAAAACATGGCTGAGGATAAGGGGTTCCCTCTTTCAATTGCAAATTTTGTCCCATTGTTAATTGGTGGTTTAGATAGAGGTTTCCAATTGGAATTTTAAAACTGTTTCAGAAATTCAAAAATGACAACGATTTGAGCTTGTAATATCGAATATAACTTCACAATCGACGAATATTATTTAAGAAACTGGTATATTTTCGGTTAACTTTCGAAATGAGAAGGTATATTTTGGTATATTGTTGAGGGTTGTGCGGTATATTTGATCGATAATTCCCCGGTCACACTGGTTGCCGGTCCACATATTTTTTTACGCGACTACTTGTATTCCCGCGCAGCTTTGTTGTTTTTTAACTTTTTCGGACGTGATCGGAAGTGCACAGCGAGTTGCGCTCGTGGTTTAAAGAATTTTATACATTGTAATTGTTTGACTGTGAGTGCAATTGATTTCCATTACATTTGATTTGGAAGAATTCGTAGAGTGTCAAAAAAGAATAAAGTGTAGTGAAAGTGTGTGTGTTGTGTGTGCTGGAATGGAACAAATGCACTAATCCAAGCTTAAAGCTAAAGCAGCAAAGGCAATGAGAAAAACATCAACAATGCCACTCTGAGCAGACCTAAAGAGAGAAGGAGAAGGAAACTAGAAAACAAGTGCGGAAAAGGTGAAGGAAAGATTGTAAATTCCTTTGAGAAACAAGCGCAGAAACGACAAGAGAAAACGGTTAAAGTCATGCAGCAGGCAGCGCAGCCGCAGTTGGCGTCGCCGCCAGACTTTGATTTCCAGATGCCGTGCCGCTATTTCAAAAGTTCTTTTGCGCGTTCGCTTTCGCTGAATGGCGGTGGCAGCGCAGCCTTGGCATTGCCCAAGAACAAGAAACCGCAGACAAACGAGGTCATGCAGCAGCAAAGGCAATTGCAAAGACAGAATAAGGAAGAGCCGATAGAAATAGAGATGGAGACAGAGGAAGAGGAAGAGCGAGGGGGAGGAGAGGAATCATCCTGTTGTTCTACGCCTCCTCCGGCTCTGCCAGCGCGACGTCACACGTCTGGCCACAACAACTTGATGCATTTTAGCAGCGCTGCCGCTAATCAGCTGCTGCTCTCTCCTCTGCCAGCTCTAGTTCAGATGCAGACAACGCAGACGCAGAGGAATCTCAATCATGT